AATGGCAAAGGACACACCGACAAAGGAGATTAATCAGAACTGACTTTGACAAGCACTGTGGCAATTGGACAATTAAAACAGACATTCGGATGGCGGGGAAGAAGAACACACTGGGGAGGAGGGTGGAGAGAATGATGCGGCAATGAAGGAGTGAAAGCCCAGAATCCCTGTGAGTTTTCATTGAAACTAATAAAATTTAATAATAATAAAAAAAAAGAAGTAAAACCTATTCAAAGTAAGACAGTGATGTGTGGTAAATAAGGTGTGGTAAATGTCTCTTAACCAAAAGTTTGCCTTTAAACTTAAGGTGGCTGTCACTTCTCAGTCTTTAGGCAAAGATCAAGTGCAAAGCTAAGATGATACACCTAGATAACTGAGGAGGGGTTTTAGAGTTATATAAAGAACAAAACTCAAGAAGTCTCAGAAACAAAAACCAGATATCACTCACAGGAGGACAAAAAATCGGCTCATTACTTTAAAAGGCAAGCCTGTAGGATACTGGGTGTTGTGGAGACAGTGAATGGAGGAAGCCCCACATCACCAGCCCAGAAGCCTCCTCCACGTGCACTTACGTCCAGATTCTGCAGACAGTACCAGCAGAACGTGTGCTTGCAATTCTTGCACATCATCTGAGCGCAGCCTTCGTTGCGTTCAATATACACCCGGCAAACTGGACACTGCTTGATGGGGGCTTCCGCATCTGTCCCAAAGAGAGTCCTAGAAACAAAGAAGGTGGGAAATTGTGACAGTGAAGACTGAGAAAGCTGCTTGATAAGAAATCAAGAAGCACAAAGCCACACACCCCAACCAGGGATGCGGGAAGAATGGTCTGAACATAAATACTTCACTAAAACACTCTGAGAAAGGTTCCTATGGCTGGTTTGTGCCCAATGGCTAACCTAAGAGGCTAGCAATTCAAACTCATTCAGTGGTAACATTGTCTGTCAGTCTCCTTCCATCAAGATAGCCAAGAAAACCTCTGGAGCTCAGATGTACTCTGAATACATGAGCTCACCAGGAATTGGAATTTATTCCACAGCAACCATCACCACCACAAGATTCCATTTTATTATCATTTCCAGGGACCCTAATGGGTAGGGAGGTCATTAACTTAGCTATGCGTGTTTTGACTTGCTGCCAAGGGAAAAAATTGAGGCTAATTAACAGGACAGAAACATATCACTAGTGGTCCACACCACACAAAAAGTAGCCCAAGATGGAAACTGTGGATCAATAATTAAGCTTGTTTAAGAGAATGAAAAGGTCTGTTCTGGAGAGGGTGAAGCCAAGCTATTCCTCGGCAGGCAAAGATTTTGAGGTTCCATCTCACATACTTTGAGCAAGTTGCAAGGAAGGACGAGTCCTTGGAAGATATTATGCTTTGAAGGGTAGAGGGACAGCACAGGAGAGGAAATCCTCATATGAGATGGATTGACACAGTGACTGAGGTAATGAGGGTAAGTGTATCAGAGACAGTGAGATTGGGCCAGGATAGAGTGGGGTTCAGAGCTATTGTGTGTACAATCGCTATGAGTCACAGGAGAATGGATAATACATAACAACAACAATAGCAACAGTTCATGAAACTAATTGGAAGTGGGAGAGGGGGGAAAAATCAATAATCACACCTTTCTTCAAATGTCTAGTATTATTTAAAAATGAAACAGAACCCCCTACTCAGCAAAAATTACTAAGTCAGCACAGGTTCATAGCTTAATCACAAAAACCAATCTGGTTGTTATAAAAATCAGTTTTCAATTCACAGAAATCCCATTTGTGTCACAGTAGAACTGTGAACATTCAATGGATGATGTTTTTCAGAAATCAATTGAAAAGTCTTTCAACTGAAGCACCTACTACTTTAGGTTAGTTGGCCAAGCACTTTAACACCCCCAAAGACTGCTCACAGCTTAAAGGGGTGGGTACTGGGCTGATGTGGAAGACGTGAGCCCTAGCATTGGCTTACACTTTTGCTACTATTGATTAAAACCACCATCCAGCATACAGAGAAATCAAGTTCAAGTGTTGCCAGGCCTAGGATCTGCCTTGGTACTGACAATCATTTTACATAGCACTGCTGTTGTTGTGTGCTGTCAAGTCAGAACTGACACGTTGCTGACCCTCCAGTGGGTTTAAAAGGCAGTAATTGCATAGGAGGAGATTGTTCATCCTTCTCCTGTAGAACAGCTTGAATTCAAACCATTTATTTGCCTTTGGAACTGCAGCAAAGTTTCTTACCACTAGGCCATCCAATGCAGTTGT